GATGTAGAAATATCCATGAAATTTCTAAGTGTGTCCACTGCTTAATTGGGAGGGAAAAAGAATAAAGAAGGAAGCACAGCAGAATTTATCATCTTCTAATAACTCACTGGCACTTCAGTTTATTTTGAAGGTGCAGCTCTTAATGATTAGAGGGGCTTGGTGGGGAAATTATTCTTCAGGGTCTGACTTCCAGACTAGAAGGCTCTTCAGGCAGCTGTTAAACTGTTCCTTTCCTTTAAACATCAGAGGGCCTAAGGGATTGTTTGCCAGTAGAGGTTGTATTGGTGCCTGGAAGCTTGAGGTGGTGACCAAGTGAAAAGAACAAAGAAGGATTTTCACAAGACAAATTAAATTTGGCCTTAGCTGGGTCCCAGCTCCCCTAGGCTGCTGCTTGTGATTCCCTACAAGGGAAAACCCTGCTCCAGAAAAATAATCCAAGCTCCACATTTTCAGTGTTGGCTTTCTCTCCCTATCTTTACACAGTTCTTTCTATGGGATATCTGAGCTGTTCAAGTAGAGTCACACTGTTTCAGTTGCTATCAAAGGGTCTTCAGTTCATGCCTAAGTCCATTTACTTCTATTCCTGTACTCTCCAGTATTTTTTGAAAAGGTGTTTTTCCAGAATTGCAGTTACTTTCATTATCTGTGGTTCTGAACTGTACACAGCAATATTGTCCTTAATCCTGGTTGACTGACCATCTTTCTCTCTTTAAACTTGGCTTGTTTCAAGCAAAACCCCCACACTTCAGTGATTCCAAGAAGAAAGGAACATAACCACAAGGTTTCCCCAAAGATTTTGCATACAGCTGATTCACTTAACCTCAAAGATAATGAATTATGGAAAAGTCTGGACTGCCTCCATGTATTCAACATTTTCTATACTAAAGCTGACTCTTTTTTTTTATCCTTTCTGGCAGAGTGTGGAGGAGACATGTTCAGCCAGCCCAAGTGTTTGTGGAATGTGTAATACCACTTGTTTTGAGACTTGATTATTTTGTCTGACTTGTTTCTAAAGCCTTAGACTTTTGTGCTATTACAGGAAGGCAGAAAATTTCCTATTTGAAGAGTAAATACTCCAAGGGGAAAAAACCAAAACAGGAAAAACGAAAATAATCTTGTTAGCAGAAAAAAAGCAATGATGCCTTTATTAAAGCTTTATTAAAGGAGTTGGAAGAAGTTATCCTAATAATTTAATGCCATCGGTTGCTTTGGGGCAATGGACAAGGTTCCTAGTGAGGAAGGATGATTCTCTCTTCTACCACTTTACCTTTTCTACCACAAAAAGCCTCTTCTCTTCTTGTGGCACGTGGTGACATCAAGCACATGTTGTCTGTGCCATGGCATATAAAAGCTGTAAAATAATGTTCTCCATCTTATATAGGAATGGATACCAAAAGCATTGTACCTAACCTCAAATGTTTATTACAATTGCATTAACAAGCCTAAGTCTGATTTTTACTGTGCAATGCTCCTACTATGTCAGCTGTTAGTAGCTGGTAGTTCATGGATTGGCTTTACCTTGTACTTTCCAGTGGTTGCAGTTTCTATAATGCTGAATTTTTCTTCTGTTTTTAAACTAACCTAATTTGATATGTATTGTCTGAAAAGTGGCCCTATGTGTAAAAGTGGCACCCTGTTTAAGTTTTTAAAACTTGCAAACACCCATCCTGGTAGTAATGCTTAATAAGATTTTCATGACCTCTTGTGTTAGAAAGTCATCCTCTTTCTTTCAGGCCTTTTGCATAGATTCACATTTTTCATTATTACATTTCTGAATGCATTATGGTTCCTGTAGTGTGGCCCCATTTTTGCAGACAGAGGGGAAAGCAAGCTGAGGTCTGTAATTCAGTGATCAGTGAGGGCACTGCTGGGCTTCATGGGGTTAAGGAGCTGGCTGGTGTAGCTCACAGGCTGCTGCTGCTGCACTCCATTGCAGCTGGATTTGTGGAGTTATTTTAGTGTGTTTTGCTTAGTGTATGGTATAAATCATGCAGCAAAGGGTTTTGCTTTTATTACTGAAAAAAAATTTCACAATTAAAACTTGAACCCAAAAGAATTCAGAATGTTAAATTGATGTGGCAGCCTGTGGACACTGAGATTGACTCTGGCTCAGGTGCCTGGGGAGCAGGAGGAGGAGCTGTGCCATGGGACAGTAACCAGCTCTGCACATGGAGTGTGGGGCACTGCAGAGCAGTGGGGGCTGTCTGCAGCTTTCCCTCCTCTGCTCCTTGTGAGTAATTCTGACCAGGTTTCAAATCGATACTCAGTTTCCTTCTTCACTTGTGCTGCCCTGGCAATTAGTTTCTGTCAGTTTGTAGCTTCTGAATTTGAGCATGCAACTGCTGTGAAAACAACTATTCTAAAATGGCCTATAATTCTACTATTGTGTTGTAAGTGGGTACAGTAGTAACTAGACTGTGCTGTGAAAAAACAACATTTTGATTACTGAAATCAAATCTACAAGGCATATGTTAAAAGCTAGAGATATTTCCATGTCGTTTTGATAATTTGAAAATTTCCAAGGAAGGAGAATGCAGTCTCCGTACTAAGAACATCCATTACTGACACAGAGAGGTGAAATTAGTTATAAGCTCTTTAATTTTATGAAATATCTCAAAAAAGTTTCTGTGATATAATTCTGACACTCTTGATGCTGCACTATAAGATGCTGTGTAAACTCCTGACTAGTAATTCAAGTTCTTCTCTACTGTGAAATTGGCTGTGATAGGTGATTGGTAAAGATAGTTAATACATATGTAATTAATATTCCTTTTTATTTAGGTAAGCATAAATTGCATTTGTTTTGGGGAGACACGAGAAAAAACTGTTACTCCTGTTACCACTTTAAAACCAATTATGAAACTTAAGTTTTGCTAATTTTTTTTAAAATTAGTAGCTTTCATCTAATGTTTATGACTTCTCTAGTGTGATAGGTTGCTTAGACAACAAACATCACTTTCTTGTTAGGTATCAAAATGAAACAGTTTTCCTGACACAATGAGAAAACTGTAAGGAATGTTTTTATCAATAAGTGTCAATCTTTCTGCTTGCCAAATTGCAAAGAGGAGAAAGCTGCTGCAAACTAGCAACAGCCTGGTTCTACAGGAAAGGTAAATTCTGAATGAGAAGTTTTCCTTGCTCTCATCCCAGATTAAGTGGGAGGAGAAATGCTTGAAAATGCTTATTTTCAATTCTATGTCACTGTGTGTGGAGTAGCTACTGCAAGAGAAAACCAGACTGCCAACTCTTTTAGCAGTCTGGGAGCTGAATTTCTTCCCTAGCGAGCAGAATCATATGAGAGGGATGGATAAAGAAATTGTCCTGAATGTAGGACATCAGCCGTATTATCTATGGCATTAAATTAAGTTACTGGATTGTTCAAAGGGTGGGTATTTGTGTCAAATGTATAGAGAGATGAGTTTCTGGTATGCTTCAGAAGATGATCTGTGATTTCAGAGAACCGTAAAAAAGTTACTGTTCAGGCTTTTTTAGTTGCACAGACTCTTGCAAGATCAAGGTACATACATCTGTAAAAATGTATTTGGGGTATTGGGACTTCCCTTTAGATGAGTTGGAAGCCTTTTGACTGAAATTTTCATGGCTTTGTAACATGTGCTGGAAAAGCAGAAAGCAAAGTACTTCAGAGAAGTAATCCCAATTTCTTGTTGCACATAGAAGTTCATCATGCTGTGGCAGTGGTGGTGATCTGCAGGCTCTCTCACCCCAAGATGATGTGATCCAGGTGGTGGCTGCCTCTCCCAGAGTCCAGCAAAGGGATTGGTGGCCCTTCCACTTCCAGCCCCTTGCTTTTCCTGCTGAAACCAGCCCCCAGCACTGGTGTGGGTGCTATTGAATATTCCACACTAAAGCTTCATCTCCTTTTTCTGTAACTGTAACAGTCAGACGCAGACACCTCTGGGAGGCAGGTTTTGGCACTTGGAGAAACGAGGGATTTGGCCAGATCGTAAAGAAAAAAGCCCTTTGGTTCTGAATTATGCTTTATCCCACTAACCTGTGTTCCTGTTGCCTATTCAATGCCCCAGGAGCTCATGAGCAGAACAAGCTTTTTAAAGTCCTCTTCCATGTGCCTTTAGGATGTCTAGTAGGTACTTGTAAAACTAATTCTCATAGTCCATACTGATGTATGGTTTGAGCAGAGGTATTTTTTCTGTCTTTGGTCGGAGCATGACTGAGAGGAGAGGCATGTATGGCCCAAGGGGAAATTTTAGGCTTGCTGCAAGGTTTCATTATCTGCTGGAAGGTGTTGGGAAAGCACATGATTAATACTTTTAGGGTATTAAAATAAAGAAGGGTTCGGGAGGTGCAGTCACAGAAGACAGCTTATGTGTGTGGGGGAGTGTGTTAGTAAGGAAGAGGTAAAAAGTCTGAAATTGTTATCTTTTTATTGTAGCTAAGAAGGGTGAACTTGTTTAGAAGCGCTTTTTTTTTCCCTGAAGCTTTGTCTGAATTTAGCAAACATCTTGAAAAGGCAGGTGCAATTACATGAGAATACCACTCCCATTCGATCAGTGCTGTTTAGGAACAAAAAAGTAGCTTGGAGGTTGGGAAAAATACAGTTAAAAGAGAGAGAAGTGAATGCTTGTCAGTTCCATCAGACCAAAATTTGATAAAGGCCTTTGATACTTGATTATTTAAGAAAACTTTTTGAAGTTAACCATGCTCACTTGCTCAAAATGTACAAGGATGCAGCTGGCAATTTTTTGTCATACAAATAACTGAATACTGATTGATTCATTAAAGCTACCTTGGGGCATGTAATTTTTTTTTTTTGTAAAATGGCAATGTGCATCTAATGTATTACAAATGTAGTCAAATAGATTATTTGTTAATCAAAAATTAAAGCAGAGGGAATTTATTTTCCTTTAATTATTTGACACCACAAAACTTGTGGGATAGAGATGTACTGGTTCCATGAATTGGAAAGTTTGGAAGTTGCGTTGGATGGCTTTTGTTTATCTCCATCCTTCTTATTTTTGTAGGAAATTCCACTTATCTGGATGACCACGGACCACCACCTCAAAAGGTAAGCTGCTGTTATTTTATATTTGCTTTATCCTTAGTTAGCTGGCTTTTCTTTTTGACTCGTCATATGTTTACTTGTGTGCCAAGCAATTCTGCTGAGTTTACATCAACAGAATGTGGCCTTTCCCACTTTTTACCCCCCAGGTGTTTTCAGATGTTTGTAAGTACCTTTGGCTAAAATGCATTAAGCTAATGGCATTTTTCTCACTGAGTCAAGGGAGACAGGGATTTAGTGGTTTTATCTGTCAGCACTTTCATGCAAAAAACCAAGACACCACAGTTGTAACTCATTTGGCAGGTGAAGATGGCCTTTGGCTGGCAGCATTTTCTGGAACATGGGTTCTGCTGCAAAAACAATACTTGAAGCAGGTCAGTAGGACAAATTTAATGAATGTGAGTCATGAGCCCTTGTTTAGGAATAAGGTTCACTGTTCCTATCATATGGGGCTGTGCTGCATAAGCTTTTCCCTTGTGTCATTTTGGCACCTCATTTCAGTTTAGGAAGGGCACTGTGATAGTTTCTTCAAGAGGAAGAAAGTGGAAATAGGCCTTTAGGGTCTCCTGATTGGTTTTTCTTTGTTTTACCCTGTATTGGTTTGTTCTCTAAGCAGAGAACAAACTCTGTCTTTCCGGCCTGTTAGAGTTCCTTTTGCACATTGCAGACCTGTACTGAAAGGGCAGATTATCTCACCTTTGTGGCTCACCATGGATGCTAGTGCAGCAGGTGACAGTGAGTAGTTAGAGAGGGGGGTGGGTGTGAGGAGCCACTACCTCTGATTGTAGGTTGTAGCCCTCCCTCATCTCTGTTCAGCTGACCATGAAGTCACATCCTGAGCTGCAGGTCTTGAGTTGAAGTGATCAACCACATGTGTGCACCTCTGTGGTGAAACAGTTGGCTTCTGATCAGCAGGAGGAGGATAATGTGGAAAGCAATTCCACTTAGCTTAGTTATTAGTGAAAACTGACAGCAATCTGGCTTTCTTCACCTTTTTTCTGGGCAACAAAATCTGCAATTTTCAGCTGATATGTGAGTATTTGTACTTGTTGAAGTTCAGATGGCTCAGCTGGAGGAATGATGTACATTTGATTTTCTTCCTGTCAACAAAAATTACTCGGTTACAAAAGCAAATGGATGTAGGCAGAAGTGACAAAATCAACCCGTTATGTTTATCATTGCAAACTGAGATAGGACACAGGTATTCGAAGGCCAGGAGTACAGCAGGCTGCATGAAATAAAGAATTATGTTTGTTGTGTCTCCACAGTGAGCACTCTGCTTTGAAGACTAAAGCAATGTTCATTACAAACCTGTATTTCTCACGCTTGTATTAGCATTCAGAAATGCCAAGCTGTTCTAGTAAGGAAAAGGCTTCCATCTAGATAAGAGTTTTTAACCTTGAAAACTTTATTCAGATTTTGGTACTTTCTCTTCAGGAATTTTACATTACTAATTAATGGTGCTGTGGATGGGATCCATAGTCCAATGGGCAGATTTATCCAACCTATGGGCAGCCATTGGACAGATTTATCCAACTTTTCTGTCTACACTGTGAAAATATCTTTTGCCTGTCTAAACATGTAGTTTTGGGCCATGTTCACACAGCCTCATCCAGCTGCAGCTCAGTTGTCTGTAGAAAGGCCAGCTGAATAGATACCTACACCTTGATTGGTTGGGTAGACACTCTTTGATTAGCCACCTACAGTCAGTAAAGTTTGTGGGCTTCCTCTGTAATCATCCTCACTCCTGGAAACTTGATGAAAAGCTCAGCAGAGTAATAGGCTGTATAGGATTGTGTAAGTTAAAAGTATTTTGCTTTTTGAAGTATTTGCCTGTTTTAGAAAAACATTTTGATCATCACTTGGACAAACCTGCTTATTCTTTAGTGACTTGGGGTTTTGTTTTGTTTTTTATTCCTCTGATCAAAATATGGGTGGGGATTGATAGATTCCCAGATAATTCCTGGTATTTGCTTGGGGTCATGTTTTGAACTAAGATGCTCTTGCTTTGTAAGTCTCATGCATTCCATTTTTGGCTAAGTGCAGTTATTTACCCTCTTACAGCTTCATATCTGAACTGTGAACTTGGTGTGAGTGAAATTCACTGTAATTGTCATTATTTTCCAAGTAGCCTCCATTCACATGACTTGATAACTACCTTTGTTTAAACTAACAGATGGTTAAGGTCTATGCATGCTTTAATTCAACATACTGAAAGGCATCAGAAGAAATAAATTCTGACTCCAACATTTAAAATATTTCATTATAAAATGCTTGAAAGCTAGAAGTGGAGATAATGAACAACAGTGCATTGCCTGAGGTTGAAATGATTGGTAGCTAATGTGGGCAGTGTGTAGTTAGCTGTAGGGGAAGGCCACCAGCAGTTGATACGCACTGGACCGTAGCTGTTTTGCAGAGTACATTCCAGTGTTTGTAGGAAATCATATTAGTTTTGGCTCTTTGTCATGGCTAGGTGCCAGAGGTTTGGGTTTTTTTTAAATACGCATGTGGGGTTTTTTTTCCCAGTGGAAGAACTGAAAATAGCACTTGTTCTCTGAATAAGGAATTAGCATCATCACATTTCAGGAGAACAGGGTACTGGTCTGTTTTTATCAGATAAAGGTGGCAGCAGCAATTTTCTTAGTGCAAGCAAAGAATGAAAGCCTGGCTCACTTCTGTGCCTAAGCTGGTGTGGTTCTGATTCTTCTTGAAGACCAGGTGAGACAGCTTTTATGGTGTTTCCCAGTAAAGGTTTACTTGCCTGTTGAAGATTAGCAGTGGTTATCCTTGCCAGTGATACAAAGGTAATGTGTCTAGGTGTGGTGGTTTGATCCTGGCTGGAGGCCAGGCACCCACCAAAGCCTCTCTGTCTCTCCCATCCTCAACTAGACAGGAGAGAGAAAATATAGCAGAAGGCTCATAAACTAAGGACAAGCAGAGATCGCTCACCAATTATAGTCACAGGCAAAACATTCACCTTGGAGAAATTAATTGAATTTGCTGCCAATCAAAATCAGAGTAGGATAATGAGAAGTAAAACAAATCTTAAAATACCTTTCGCCCACCTCTCTTCCCTTCCAAGCTTAACTTTATTCCCAATTCCCTATCTCTTCCCTAGCAGCACAGGGAAACAGGAGTGGGGATTAGAAACATGTTGCTGCCTCTGCTTCCTCCTCAGGGAGAGGAGGCCTTCCCCCTCTCCAGTGCACAATCCTTCCCATGGGAGACAGTTCTCCATGAACTTCTCCAGCGTGAGTCCTTGCCACGGGCTTCAGTTCTTTGTGAACTGCTTGAATGTGGATTCCTCCCACAGGGTGCAGTTCTTCAGGAGCAGACTGATCCAGCCAGCATGGGTCCCCCATGGAGTCACTAAGTCCTGCTGAGAAACCTGTTCTTCTCTCCATGCGTCAACATGTCCTTCCAGGAACCTCCATGGGTTACAGGTGCACCTGTGCTCCTCTGTGGACCTCCATGGGCTCCAGGGGCACAGCTGCTGCACCATGGTTTTCACAATGGGCTGCAGGGGAATCTCATCTTGGGCACCTGGAGCGTCTCCCCCCCCCCGCTTTCTTCATGTACCTGGGTGACTGCAGGGCTGTTCCTCTCACACATTCTCATGTCTCTTTTCTCTGGCCACAAATTACTTCTGCGCAATAACATTTTTTCCTTTTTAAAGATATGTTATATCAGAGACAGTATCTACCATTCCTGATTGGCTTGGCCTTGGCCAGCAGTGGGTCTGTCTAGGAGGCAGCTGGTGTTGGATTCATTGGACATGGGAGAAACTTCTGGCAGCTACTCACAGAAGCCACTCCTGCAGTCCCCTCAGCCGTAGCAGAACTTTGCCATGAATACCCAGTACACAAACATGGGCCACTCTTCTTTGGTTCTTAGGCACCAAAGACTTCAGAGGATGGTCTAAGCCTAGACTTTTCATGAGTTCTGAGACAGATCTGTGTGTGCTTCTCTGCAGGTAGATGTAACCTCCAGTAGCCCTAGCACACCTCTGGTGTTTCTGGTGCTAGTATGTGACAGATAGAAAAGGAATGCAGTAAGCCAAACAGCCACTGCTGGTGGTTCTACACTGCCAGTGAAAGTTGACTCTTACCTATTTCAAATCTCTATCTCACTTCCTCCTGGCTTTTTTTTTCGATAAGTGTCTGAAAGGGAAATTTTAAAAGATTTTCTAAGTGATCATTTGTTTATCCTTTTTCTCTAGATTGGTGTTTAGGTGAGGCCTTTAAGATTGGTGTTTAGGTGAGGCCTTTAAGATGATGCTAGCTTGGTTTTTGAAAACACATTTGAAATGGATTGTTCATTAATGGCTGATGGTGTTCACCGGATATATTTCATGTCTGAGTATTTCTGCAAATAAAGTTGGGTGTATTTTGTTCCAGTATTTAGACCAGCTATTTCCTTATCAAATCCTCCCAAGATTTTTTTGTTCCATCCAAGATGGTGAAACTGGCTTTAGACGACAAATGATACAAACTTTATCAGACCTACAGTTGTTCTTGATTGAAAGCTTTTCCCTGAGAACTTGGCAAGAGCATCAAGATATGTCCCTCTTTCAGTAGAGATGACATATATATTTGTGGGGGAGCTGTGCACATAGCTTACAGATAAATTACACTGAAGTAGTCTATTCTCCTTTTCTTGATGGTTTTCCCTTGGGTTGCCTATCATGGACCCAGTGTATCTTTTGGCAGCTGTTTAGGTGTCAGCAAGACACTATGCTTAGCATGTGTGACAGTGCTTCAAAGCTTTAAATGAATACAAAAATGGATGGGGGTCAGCATCAGGTCAAAATTAATCTAAATGAGAGACATACACAAAATTAATTTTATCTAATTTTATTGATTTAAAGCTGGAAAGTGGATAAGTACTCTTTTCACCATTCTTTCAGTTCTTAGCTAATAATTACATGCTAATTGTTTTTGTTTTTCTTATGGAGCAAGACTACCATAGCATAATAGAATATACCATGGCATAATAAAATCTTTTGG